GGGGAAGTGGCAGGGGAAAGGGGCAGAATCGGGTGTGCAGCTCGGGGGGGGAGGGAGAAGGGAAGTTGCGATCGGGAGGTGGGGTGATCAGGAGGGCGAATCGCAAGGGGGGTGTTGGGGTGCAGCATCACCAAGAATGTCGTCGAAGCTCTTCCCTGTCTTGGCACTCGGCGCCCAGGATGCTTCACAAAGTAACGGTGCAACAACTACGCTTGACGATGCAATCCGTTGGCGTCAGCAGCAGCGACCAAAGTAGGAGCAGATGTCGACCATGTAGACGATCGCCAAGACCAGGTACGCGCCCTCGCATCAGGAAGTCGAGTTGGAGGACAAGCGACAGCAGATCGACGTTGACCGCGATGTTACAGGTCAGAAAGGCGCCAGCTTGGATGGCGGATGCATCCGATCGTGTTGGCGGACCAGGTGCAGTGCAGAAGCGAACTTGGAGATGGCTATCTGCGGTGGGCAAATAGCGGGAGGGGAGGGAGGGAGGGAGAAGAGGTTCGATGCTCCGCTCCGATACCAATGTGGCGCACGTGCGGAGGGCACGTGTGGAGATGGAGATGGAGAGAGAGAGAGAGAGAAGATGGACACACATGAGAAGCAGCAACTGAGTGAAGGTTCAGTCCGGCTCAATGAATGAACGAATGAAGAATGAATGAACCAACCTCCCGACCAGGGCCTAGGCCGAAGTGATATACCGGCCTAGGTCCCGGTACGGGAACAACCTGGTACCGGATCAAGGTCGTGCTGACGACCTGAAACTGGTCAGGCCTCATTGACGGGACGTAGGGGTACCGCTACAAGTCACCATAAGAAAACGAGGCCGAAACGCCTAACGCTGGGCCCGCCGTTGATAAATTCGATCGGCAGTCGGATTTTCATTTCGCACCTCCAGAATTTGAGGTGCCAGGCCGACGGCCCAGGTGCCCATGTACTTACTGGTGCTTTAAGGACTATTTCTTTGAACCCCAACCAATTAAATTACTTCTCAAAACCAAACAGCATGGCCTTTCAGGGTTTTTTTATTGTCATTATCATGGTTACCAGCCCGTACGTACGGAGGCTCCCGGGCCGACCTCCGTACGTTCGGGCGTTCGGGGTCCCGTTTGGGGTCCGAACCTGAAGGAGTTCGGCCCCCGCCAAAAAATATTTCAGAGCATAGACCTTTTTTTTTTTTTTTTTTTTTTTTGAGTTTTTTATGATCTAAGGTACATGCCTGTAAATCTTGAAGGCATTTTGCTAAGCCAAAAAAAAAAAAAAAAAATCATCAAAGATGGCGGTGTCAAAACGTGCTCACCCACATATTATTCTGTTTTTTTTTTTTCTTTTCACTTTTCGGTCTCACTTTTTTTTTTTTTTTTTTTTTTTTTAAACACAACTGAAGTCATTAGGAATGGTGATAAGAGCAGTCATTCCTAACCACCCAGTCGAGACTCCAGTCTATTGGTGGGGAGTATCACCTACTGAAAACCGGGTTCAGCGTCCCTTATATAGAAAAATGTCCAGTGTTACAGCTTGATAAGAGTAAAAAAGGATCAAAACCACCTCTTCAGTCATGATCAGACCACCATATAGAACATGCACCTCTAGCAGTTCTAATCCTCCTAATGATGATTAATTATTCTTCATTATCTGACCTTCTCCCACCAAACCATTGATTTTCTACTAAAGCTAACTCCGAGGAAGGGAACAGTTCAAAAAAACATGCAGCATCTCTGAGGAATTCCCCTGACTGAATATCAAACCAGTCATAAAAATGTAGCAAGTAACTCTTCTTGAGAGGCATCCCAGACTCATTCTCATCAGGCCATACCACATGTCCAATT